TAGGTTGCATTATTTCTAATATGGAACAGTTTCTGAATAATTATTGTTTAATTGAGTGAATTATAGTATATCAAAATCGTATAGTAAATCAAAAAGTTCAAATTTAAGGATATTTGAATCACCGCACCATTCCAATAACGACGTAATTTCGAAGTATTTTCAAACTACCCAAGATTTAAATGCTTCAGCCTGTCTCAATAAATTTGCGTTGGGACGTTTGAAATCGGAACGCGTTCAACGGAATATCTTCCACCGAATAGACGTTGTGTTCCAGAGAGCGTTCAGCTTCGCAAGAAATGCGTCGGGCATCTTCTCGGAACGCGTTGCATAACGCAGACGCACCGAATCCATAAAAAGGGATATATGTGTATAGTTTATTTTTATATATATATATATATATGTATAGTAAATTTATATATATTTTCTCACGAAAGAAGAGTGTACCGTGGGCCTCGCGTGACTCGTCGTCGGAATACTTGTGAGCGAGTAAGACGAAGAAGATGGAAAAGAAGAAAGAGAGAAGAGAGACCGGCCAGCCTCGAACGAGCAAAACAAAAGAGGCCGCGAGGCAAGGATGCGTAAGGCCTTTTTTGGCGATACTCCCGGTGTATGTCGCCGAAGAAGCCGGGAGACTCGGTCTTCTGGTCAGGCCAGTTCCGAGCGACCGGATTTTTCAAAGGTTGCCCGCACCCCGAACCTGTCCTCCCCCTTGTTCCCATACCGGCGACTGGTTTATCGACCGGCTGCTGTTCGCCTCCTCTTTCTCGGTGCTCGATTTCTGACCAGTGTCCGAGAAAAAGAGACACGCGGCAGAAGGAATTTCTGTCCTGTCGGCCTTCGAACATCTCCGCACTGCGTCGATTAATCTCATCTCTTTTCTCCTTCTCCTACTCCTTCTGCCCCCTCCTCCCGTCCGGTTTATCCATTGATTTAAACGAACAGTTTCGTTAGATCGATTAGAATTCAGTTTGCTATTAGATCGTCCAAGGTTTACTGATAGCGATACGTGTTTTTTGATTTCCTCTAATGTCTTCTGAAGATGAGATGATCACAGACGTCTTGAATTTTGGATGTTCCTAAGTAAATAATCGATATCAGTTCTGAAGTAAACAGTTTGTTTATTTCGAAACATTCAAAGTATATAATCTATTTTCTCGAAATAAGGTTCTGGAAATACATTAACAACCGCTTGAAATACGTTTACCCCACTTCAAACACTCGAACGTTAATTGAAATAATCGTAACCAAACAAACAATTACTGCGACTATTAAGATATGTCTGATTCCTTCATGAAAGCTTCGCAGAAATTTCAACCAACCGCCAATAAATTTAAAAACCGAGTAACCGAGATACCACGGAAACTTGTACAGTACATCGTTCAAAATGAAACCCCCAGCCCACAGGGATTCACTTCCAACGTGCAGGATTCGAGAACAATTTCCCGGCTAGATTTTCTACGTCCGCCCGGGCCGAGTTTCCGGCGCGACGGGGAACTCGAAGGAACGCGGCAGGAGGGAGGCGGAGGTAACGCGTTATGCATAAATCAAGAGCGACAACTTTCCTCCGTGTTTCCGGCGCGACTACGTCGCGCCGGTGCATCGTAGATCGGCGGACTTTTAATTTTATGGGCGAAGTTTCGTCGGCACTGACCGCGGAAGACCAGAGCGGAAAGAAACACGACTAGCGAATCGATTGTGGACGAATGTTAATTTAAACATAGCCGCTGGATGTTTATTAACGCCCCGGTGAAACTCGGGACGCAGAAGGGGATCTGTTTTCCATACAAATGACACGAGTCGCCCGTGCGGAAAAATCGCAGGTGGGAACCAGCAGCGACTTTCTTGGGACATTTCTAGGAGTTGTCTGTCGATACACCCGTGCTCTCTATTCGCTACTAATCACTTATCGTGTTCTTCAACAGATTAACGCAATTCTTCATACTTTGGAGAACGTGCTGAGTAATTCCTTTTTGCGGTTTCCAAGACTGATAACATAATTTCCTTATCGAACACAGTGTAATCTATGAGGACACTTTGTAGAAATTAAATATAGGGGGTTTAAATGGTATTGCCGTAAATGAAAATTAATAATGGGAATTATTAATTTTACATCGAATTAGAAGAGTACCTTCTAAGAGTCGTTGCTCGTTTTAATCTTAGACTGCCTACGTATGCCATTTAATTTTTAAAGCTTCTCCATCGTCGATTGTCTTAAGTGGCGATAAAACATGATCCACAAAGCTCGTATCAGGGTCCATTTATTTAATGAACATCTGTAATTGATGGGAAAATATAAAACTAAGGATGATATAGGAGATAAGAGTTTATTTATGGAGTTGAATTCACTTGAACGAAGCGCAAGGATTAAAGTAAACAAAGTAACAGTTGAAAACGATTTCCGTGACACAGGAAGCCGGGTGGTAAAGAAAATGTAAAAAGGAAATGTCAGTAACGCTTTCACCAAATAACGCAGGAGTAGTCCAGGCACGGAGGTATCATTTGGGGTAAACGTTGCAAAACACGAGGCCGATTTATGCAGCGCCGGTCGACTGAATAAGTCAGCCTCGTTTCAGAGATGCAAATCGCTCGGATGCAGAAACTGGTTGTTCCGGTACACGTCGTAGCGTAATAATAAGCTCCGCTCGTTCTCCGAACGGGTACGCGCGGCAGGTCTCTCCCCGGAGGCCCCTGGATCTCTTGGAAAACGATCGCATCGGTCCGTTTCTCGGTTCCCTATGGACTGGTTCGATATACCCAGCCGTTGAAAAGTTTGGAGCTTGTAATGCTTTCTTTCAGGATTAAAGTAAACGAACGTTTTGTCGGCTGAACAAACATTTCATTCAAAATATTCTGCTATTCTGGCGATGAAATGGTAGTTAATTCTTGTTGAAAGTGAAAGTTACGATTATACCGTACTTATTATCCAGAAAGATAATACGATAGGATGAAAGATAAATTTTACTATAAGTAGATACTTACTCAGTCCCATCCGTTTTACTTTATATTATAATAATAGCGATTAACCGAAGAAAATTTACGATTGTTCGCGAAGGATTTCTAAAGCAATACCAGCGAGTAAAATAGGCGAATGTTTCTTCAACGAGGGAACAAGAAAACAAGGCTTCGTTTGTATGTATCTTCAGACTATAATAAAATTTTGTGTCTGGAAAAATTCCGAAATGTCTTAGCATAAATTAGATTAGCCTCTCCGGTTCTCCGTAGCGTGGATTTTAAATGAGCGAGCGTGCGGGTAGCCGATAAAAGATAACCTCCGCATTGGAAATAACAACAATAAATCTACGAGGCTGGAGGAAAAATTGTCGCGGCAACAGATGTTTCACCTGTTCGAGGAACTCGCAGTCCGTGCGTTTAAATTGGAAAATCGTGTCTGGGTTTCCCGTCTCCTTCCCCTTCTCTTCTCGATCGAGGAGCGATGCTCGCGCGAAAATAACGGCTGGATCTACCAGCGCGCACGTATTTATCGCGTGAATCCAACGCGTGCATTGTAAAGTCCGCCGACCGAAGAGCTGAGATAAACACGCGCGTTCCGCACGTAACAGTATAAATAACTTGCGCAAGCATTAATGAATGCTTATCTGCCAGAGTCCGTTAAAAAGTCACGATATGTACGCCAGCCACCGACGGCGCTGTTATCGTGGCTCTTTTCGTACACGCATCTACGCGCGCTAGGAAACACTGGTACTCTGGTATATATAAGGCCATTTTCATTCTCTACACTGGTTAAACGCGCTTTTATCTGTTGGCACACCATTATCTGCTGACATCCATCCATCAGAGTAATTGGAAAATGGATACAGTTCAGAAGTATCGATTCAGCTGAATTCATACGGTTCTTTTGCTTTTCGATGTAGTTATTACCGAATCCTTTTTGTCGATTGTGCGAATTTCAACGAAACATTGGAACGTTAAATTCCTCAAATCTTTTCGCCTAGCAGAACCATATGGCGTGCCGAGAATCACAATGGTGTAACTCAACATTGTTTTCTTTCTAGAACTGAAAAGCTCTAAAATCGTTGTTTTTTTATTAATTGATCCAAATTATAACTGAAGTAAAACTTCATTTTCTGAAGTACAAGCATCGTTCGTTTTACACTGTTGTGATTCCCAGCACTCCATA